GAACAAAACGCACTTGCCCGCCTGGCGTGGCTCAGTGATTGAGTATCGACCTATGAATGGTTCAATTCCTGGTCAGGGCACATGCCCGGGTTGCGGGCTCCGATCGTCCAATTTGGGTCATGCAGGAGGCGACTGATCAGTGGTTCTCTCTATTTTAATATAAAATTCACTGTGTTTAAGGCTGACTATAATAATGTACAGGTAAAGAAAATGGATCCTGGAGTCAGTTTAAGTTAAGATTCTACCACTTACTAGCTATATGACTTGTGGTAAATTATTTCCCATGTATAAAATAGATAATCCAATGTATCTCCCTCATAGGAATTTGTGATGGTTAAACAAGGTGGTAATCCATGTAAAGCAACAAGCCGAATCCCTGGCATATATTAAGTGCTAATAAATGTTAGCTAGTAGCAATAGCAAAGGCAGGTATATGTCCAGGGTACATGCTACTCCTTCCGTCTCTCCATTTTGTCCAGAGACAAAATAATCTCTTCTCTTGTAATGTTAGAAACTTAAACGTAAACTTAGGATCTAAACCTTTACATCTTAACGAAAGAAAACCTGGGAAGTGCCTTTCCAAGACCAGCTAGTGCTCTTCTTTCACGTAAAGTGAGGAAATAAGGTCATGACAGTAGGATTAGAGAAAAGGCCCTAGGTCTCCTGATTCACAATCTTTGTTTTTCACATATTGCTACCTTCTAAATCATAGGACCATGTGACCTTTTCATTTTTTTAAAAAACATATATGTTTTTATTGATTTTAGAGAGCAAGGGAGAGGAAGAGAGAGATAGAAGCATCAGTGGAGTGCCCCCTGCATGCCCCTACTGGTAATTGAGCCTGCAACCCGGTCATGTGCCCCAATTGGGAATTAAACCGTGACCACTGAACTATACCAGCTGGGCCTTGTGGATTCATTCTTTTTGTTGTTGTTGTTAATCCTCACCCAAGGATATTCTTTCCATTGATTTTTATGTTTATTTTCCTATTTTTTAAAAAATATGTCTATTGATTTTTAGAGAGAGAGGAAGGGAGAGGGAGAGAGAGATAGAAACATCAATGATGACAGAGAATCATCAGTTGATCAGCTGCCTCCAGCACAACCCCTACTGAGGATCAAGCCCACAACCCAAGGCTTGTGCCCTGACTCAGAATCAAATTGGTAACCTCTTGACTCATGCATGCGTCACTGCTCAACCACTGAGCCACAGTGGCCAGGCTTTCCATTGTTTTTTAGAGTGGAAGGAAAGGGGAGAGACAGACACTCGATTGGTTGACTCCTGCACACACCTCAACCAGGGCTGGGGATTGAGCCTGCAGCCCAGGTACGTGCCCTTGACCAGAATCGAACCCACGACCCTTCAGTCCTAGGGCTGATGCTCTGACCACTGAGCCAAACCTGCTAAGGCTGGACTTAGTTTTTTTGTTTTGTTTTGTGTGTTTTTTAAATATGTTTTTATTGATTTTAGAGAGGGAGAGAGAGATAGAAACATCAGTGGTGAGAGAGAACCATTGATCGGCTGCCTCCTGCATGCCCCCTACTGGGGATTGAGCCTGCAACCTGGGCATTGCCCTTGACCGGAATTGAACCCAGGACCCTTGAGTCCACAGGCCAACGCTCTATCCACTGAGTCAAACAGCTAGGGCTGGACTCAGTTTTAATTAAGCTTTTGTTTCAAAGGAAACTGTTTTTTTCTCTCTACTTTTGTGTGTTTGACATTTTTCTTTAAATAGCTTTAAATTATTAAAATATTTAAACTGAAAGAAAAATAATTATTTAAAACAAATTAGTATATGGTTGACTATAGACTGTCTCTGTGATGGAACAAAAACTGGTAACAGTGGTTTCCTCTGGGGAGGAACAGTAATAGTGGAAGAGAAGTGGCTTTGAGTATAATGGTATGTGACAAGGGGCTCCTGAAACCTGTTAAGTCGGGAAGATAATCAATTCCTCCAATTCACGTATAGCTAGTGGAGTAGGACCAGGAAGAACAGTAGCAGATATCTGTAGTTATTTGAAACTATGTAGATTTGGATAAAATTTTGGAGATATGCCTTGTAATAGCCACACTCTTAACACTTAACCCAAATTTCAGGGGCCAACGAGATTTGGGTAAGGAGGAATACTTTGGTTTCATTTAGGTGAGGACTGCTCCTGTGAATTGCATCTTTGTATGTCTGACTTAGTGGGTGATCCTAGGTAAATTTCTTAACCTAATTTCTAATCTGCCAATAGATGGAAATGGTAAGCCCTATTCTTACCTAGTACATAGGGTTTTTCAGTATAAATTGAAGTCATGTAAAAATTAACTCAATTCTAGGCTCAGCTTTGTTAGAATACTAGGCGCTTAACTTGAACTCTTAAGGAGAGAAGTGTGTTAACAATCGCATGCTGTTCGTACTAGGTTGTATTGCATGTTCAGTATTCAACTCTTAAAAAAGAGAAAGGGAAAGCCAGAATCAACTATGCTTTGGGCACTTTATATCATACTTTACTGTGTGTGTGTGTGAGAGAGAGACAGTGTAATCTTTGAGCTACTTTCTGTTTAAAACTTATGATTTTGAGAGACAGTTTACTTCTAACTTCCTCTCTTCTGAAATAGGAAGAAACATTTTGAAATAAAATGATCCTAATATATTTTAGGGTTATTACCTATAAATTTCAGAGCATAGCATTCAAGGAAGCACCGATAATATCTGTTTAGCACCTACACTAAACATGTAATAAATTTAGGCTATTAACTTTTTACAATAGAAGTAATAGTTAACCTCAGTGTACAGTGCTACAAACATATACATTTTTAAAAATTGAGGCTGCTTAGTTACAATGAAGCCATAAATAGCATTCTTAATATAACAGACTTACTCAAGGAAAATAAAGTACCTGAAATTATCTATGGGCAGTAACTTTTTCTTACATTTAAGAAGATAATACTTTATGGGGATAAGTTTAAGAAACAGGATAGTTACACACATACTCTTGAGCTATCTTCCCTTAAGATACTTAATTACAAAGGAGAAAATAATAACTTCATAGTGGATAAACCTGGTAGACAGTCACCCTAATGAAGTGATAAAAGTTAATATCACTAGTAATTGGACAAATAGCTGGTTTGAACCTTCTGGTATGAGGTGTCAGAAAGGACACAACATTACTTCTTCGGCATTCTTGCCAAAAATGCAAACTGAATGTAATCATGAGTTAATATCTCACAAACCCAAATTGGGGGACATTTTAAAGTCTCGAAAGCACCCAGCTGGCGTGGCTCAGTGGTTGAACATTGACCTATGAACCAGGAGGTCACGGTTCAATTCCAGGTCAGTAATACATGCCAGGGTTATGGACTTTATCCCTAGTAGGGGACAAGCAGGAGGCAGCTGATCTATGATTATCTTTCATCATTGATGTTTCTATCTCTTTCTCCCTCTCCTTTCCTCTATGAAATCAATAAAAACATTTTTTAAAAAGTCTCAAGAGCATGAAAGAAAGAAAAACTGAAGAACTGCTCTAGATGAAAGGGATAGAAATTTTTCCAGATTAAAAGAGTTGTCATACCTTGTATGCATATATGCTTAACCCATGGATGCAGACAGTGGGGTGATGAGGGCCTGGGGTGGGGTAGTGGGAGTGGGCTAGAGGTAGAGAGGGCGGTGAGGGAAAAAAGGGGACATATATAATACTTTCAACAATAAAGATTTAAAAAAAGGGGGAGGTTGTTATAAACATGATGAAACCTATGAGCCTAGATTGGATCCTGAACCAAAAAAATTTTTTTTCCCATTTTTTAAAAAGGACAAGGACATTAATAAGACAATTGCAGAAATTTGCATAAGGCCTGTAGATTTAATAATAGTACTATATCACTGTTACTTTTCTGATTTTGATCATTGTGCTATCTTTATATAAGATAATATTCATGTTTTTAGGAAACATACTCTGAATTAGAGTTAAAGGATCAAAATGTCTACTGCCTTCAAATAAATCATAAAAAATATAGATGTAGAAATAATAATATAGAAAGAGAATGATAGACATGATTAAGTGTTAAAATTTAGGGAATATGGATGAAGTTTGTAGGGGAATTCTTTTATAACCTTTTTAAGCCTGAAATTATTTTTAAAAAGGAGATAGTCACTTAATGAGATTTGTCACTAATTAATTGATTTTTCTTTTTTGCATCAATAAGTTGTTTATTGAATACCAGTGGTTTGAAGGATGATGATTTGCAGAGAAATGTTAATATGAAACTGTGGCAAATGAATAATACCATTACAAAATGACAGGTAGAACAATATAAAAAGAGTTGATAAATGTCAAAGTATTTTTACTATATTTGAAAAGTAATTCTTTTATAGATAGCCCTCATTATTACATTATGATTCATGTATACATTATATCAATACATTCAAAAAACTTTTTTCACATTCAACATTGAATTCTTTGCATAAACAATTACCTGATTTTTGAGAAGGTTTTTCAAAATCCTCTCTGGGTCAGCTTCCTCATCTGTAAAATGAGGTGACTTGGACTAGATCATACTTCAAAAGTCATTTCAGTTCTAAAATTTTAAGATCTTATAACTAGAAAGAAAATGAAAGTTAATTTTCCCGTTTGAGTCAAAAGCGGTTGTTAAACACAGCCTGTATGCCAAGTGACAGTGTAATATTTATTTAAACTCACAGATATTTTTCTGTCAAAGAAACTTTTGTTGAGATTTTATTTCATCGGACATTTATATGCAACTTCTCATGCATTAATGATATGGTAAATGTAATGTAGTTTAAAAGTATACTTTTCCTGTGAAAACTTGGTTGTTAAGACTCAAGATTAATTATGAAAGTTTATGTGGTCTTAATATTCACAGCAGCCTAGAAGGATTGTCAAGTACAAGTAGTTGATGATGTAAAAACGAAATTGATGTTCAGTGTAAAATAATTTTTGGTTACATTTAACAAAAGAAAATTTTTGTTGATCCTTTTTTCCCCTCACCTCTCCCAGCTTGGTGATCCAGCTATTTTTCCTGCCGTAATTGTGGAGCATGTTCCTGGTGCTGATATTCTCAATAGTTATGCGGGTCTAGCTTGTGTGGAAGAGCCCAATGACATGATTACTGAGAGCTCCCTGGATGTTGCTGAAGAAGAAATCATAGATGATGATGATGACAACATCACCCTTACAGGTAGGTGTGTGTGCCTCCAGCAGCACCTTACTTCAGCCTAGTTTTAGGCAATGCCTGAGCCCTATAATTTGGGGGCGGGAGGGACATACAAGGTTCCTAACTTGGTTTTGAATAACTCTATTACCTGCAGAAGCTAGAGCCCTGCAGGGAAAAAGAAATTAACCTTTTCTTTCTCATCTGCCTATGTTTCTTAGTGCTTTCTCACCTCTCCTTTCTTCCCTAAGTATATTGAGAAGAATGTGACAAAATAAGGATGCATGCAAGAGGAACCAAACCAAACTAATTCATCAAGTCTTCTTTGAGCACTTATGTACCTAGCTCTATATTCCTGATAACAAGGAGAAGTTGTTAGTAGGGAAAAAGGAAAGTTTTGTTTTCTTTTGTTTTTTATTGCCATCACATAAAGCAAAATAGGAGGCCATGATCCAAATGTGGCATAAGGTGCTGAGGTTTACTAAAGAAGGTTCCTCTTCTGATTCAGTCAGAACTAGGAGGACTTTTCAGAGTTGAAGCGTTCACTGTGCTAGTGCTATTTTCTTCAGTTTTAGAAATCAGTGCGTGCACTGGTATTATTATACATTTACATGCTGAAAGCATTTGAGAAAAATCAGTATTTAGAAGCAGAAGTTATTTAAGTATTCTTTTTTAAAATATATTTTATTGCTTTTTTTACAGAGAGGAAGGGAGAGGGATAGAGAGCTAGAAACATCGATGAGAGAGAAACATCGATCAGCTGCCTCCTGCACACCTCCTATTGGGGATGTGCCCGCAACCGAGGTACATACCCTTGACCGGAATCGAACCTAGGACCTCTCGGTCCGCAGGCCGACACTCTATCCACTGAGCCAAACCAGTTAGGGCTATTTAAGTATTCTTAAATTAAAAACAACAAAATTAACATTAGTCACAATATTATTAATTAAATCTAGATCTTATCAGTATTTTACCCACTTCATACTAATGTCCTTTTCCAGTTCCAGGATCCTATCTGGAATCTCATACTAAATTTAGTTATTTCTTCTCTGTCCCTTCTAGTCTAACAATTTCCTCTGTCTTTCATTGTCTTCCATAACATTGACACTTTTGAGGAAAAGTGGTTGACATTATAGAATATCTCTTAATTTTGTGATGTGTTTTCATTGGAATGAGATAAATGTATTTTGGGCAACAATAGCATCAAAATGGTATTGTCTCCCTAGTGTGTCATCTATAATAATAAAAGCATAGTATACTAATTAGACCGGATGTCCTTCTGGACGACTTTCTGGATGAAGCTACAGCAGGCGGGGGCCAAGCCCCTTGCATGAATTTCATGCATTGGACCTCTAGTATTAACATAATTGATTAAAAAATACACTGTCTCAATTAATTCTTACAACAGAAAAAAAACCTGAAATTAGAGAGGTTAAATTACATGATTTGCCTAAAGTCACAGGCCAAGTGACTGAGCCCCCATTGATAAACAACACTTAATTTGTCTATTTTGTATAAAGCATGTTCTTTTTTAAAAAAATTAAATCTTTATTGTTCAGATTATTACAGTTGTTCCTCTTTTTTCTCCCCATAGTTCCCCTCCACCCGGTTCCCACCCGCCCTTACACCCCCACCCCCACTGTCCTCATCCATAGGTGCACGATTGATTTTTGTTCAGTCTCTTCCCGCACCCCCCACACCCCTTTCCTCCCGAGAATTGTCAGTCCACTCCCTTTCTTTGCCCCTGATTCTATTAAATTCACCAGTTTATTCTGTTCATCAGATTATTTATTCACTTGACTTTTAGATTCACTTGTTGATAGATGTGTATTTGTTCATAATTTGTATCTTTACCTTTTTCTTCTTCCTTTTCCTAAAGGACAACTTTCAACATTTCATATAATACTGGTTTGGTGGTGATGAACTCCTTTAGCTTTTTCTTATCTGTGAAGCTCTTTATCTGACCTTCAATTCTGAATGATAGCTTTGCTGGGTAAAGTAATCTTGGTTGTAGGTTCTTGGTATTCATCACTTTGAATATTTCTTGCCACTCCCTTCTGGCCTGCATAGTTTCTGTTGAGAAATCAGCTGACAGTCGTATGGGTTCTCCCTTGTAGGTAACTAAGTGTTTATCTCTTGCTGCTTTTAAGATTCTCTCTTTGTCTTTTGCTCTTGGCATTTTAATGATGATGTGTCTTGGTGTAGTCCTCTTTGGATTCCTTTTGTTTTGGGTTCTCTGTGCATCCTGGACTTGTAAGTCTATTTCTTTCACCAGGTAGGGGAAGTTTTCTGTCATTATTTCTTCAAATAGGTTTTCAATATCTTGCTCTCTCTCTTCTTCTGGCACCCCCATAAATCGGATGTTGGTGCACTTGAAGTTTTCCCAGAGGCTCCTTACACTATCTTCATATTTTTGGATTCTTTTTTCTTTTTGTTTTTCCGGTTGGGTGGTATTTGCTTCTTCGCATTTCAAATCTTTGACTTGATTCTTGCGATACTCTAGTCTGTTGTTGGAACTCTGTATATTCTTTATTTCAGTCAGTGTATGCTTAATTTCTAGTTGGTCCTTTTTCATAACCTCTAGGGTCTCACTAGATTTCTTGAGGGTCTCACCAAATTTATCGGTGGTCTCACTAGACTTATTGAAGGTCTTACTAAATTTATTAGTGGTTTCTAGAAAATTCTTGAAAAACCTTATAAGTGTGGTTTTGAACTCTATAATCAGTAGTTTGCTTTCCTCCATTTCTGTCATTTGTGACCTGTTTCTTTGTCTCTGAATTTTTTATGCTTTCTTGTGTGGATAGAGTGGCTTTCTGTGCTAGGTGTCCTAAAGGGCCCAGTGGCTCAGCCTCCCCAATCACCTGAGGTGGACACTCTTGGTGCACCCCTTTGTGGGCTTTGTGCACAGTCTTGTTGTAGTTAAGCCTTGATTGTTGTAGGTATCACTGGGAGGAATTGACCTCCAGGTCAACTGGCTGTGAGAATCAGCTGTGTCTACAGTGGGAGAACTTCTGTGCTGGAGACACCCTTCTGGGGCAAGACTTGCTTCAGTGGGGCTTTGGTGCTCACTGAGTCTGCCCCCTGAGTGTGTCCCTTATGGATCTGAGGAGTTGTAATCTGGATGGTCCCACTCTGGCCACTGGGTACACTGGCTCTTGGATTTCTAAGGAGTTGCTAATTTAGCCTCTGCCTGAGGCTACCCAGCAGGAGCTATGGAGCAATCTGAAGATTCCTCTTCTTTGGGGTTTGGAGGTGCCCAGATGAGGCCTAGCTGTGAAGCATTGCAAGCTGCTGTGGGGCCTTGGGCCTTCTTTTGGAAGTTCTGGATCTCTCTGACCCAGCTGCAGTTTGTTAGGTAATTTTCAGATTTCAAAGGGCCAGGCCTTTCATATGCAAAAGCCTCTGCACACAGCTTGGGTGGGATGGGGTCTCAGGGAATCAACAGGGCGGAGCAAACAGCTATGACTACTCCTCAGTCCTACCCTAAGAGGCCCCGGGTCTCAGTGTCCCACGGTAATCACTGCAAGCACCTCTGAGAGAAAGCCGTCCTCAAGTTCTGCCCAATGCCAGACAGTCCAGTTTCTCCCCGTATGAGTCTGGGTCCCCAGAGACTAGCCCGGAACTGGAGTTCAGAGTAGTCGCGAGCTTGAGACTCCCTCCCGATTGAAAAAAACAACCGTGTCCTCAGTTGCCAGCCCTTTCTGAGTGCGCCTCCATACCTCTGCACTTTACTTCCGCACCTCCTCTCAGTGTCAGTGTGCTTTTCTCTTTCCTTCTAGTTGTAGAATTTCCACTCAGCCAGGCTTCCTGTGGTTCTGGATGATGTCCGTTTTGTCTTTTAGTTGTATTTTTGAAGTGGTTGTGCAAGGCAGCAATTTCTGGTGTTTGCCTATGCTGCCATCTTGGTTTCCCTCAAGCATGTTCTTATATACTAGAAGCCCGGTCCACAAAAATTTGTGCACTCGTGGGGGGAGGAGGGGGGTCGCTCAGCCCGGCCTGTGCCCTCTTGCAGTCTGGGACCCCTCGGGAGATAACGACCTGCTGGCTTAGGCCTGCTCCCAGGTGGCAGAGGGCAGGCCCAATCCCTAGGTGCAGCCCCTGGTCGGGCTCAGAGCAGGGCCGATTGGGAAGTTGGGGCGCCACCCCCTGTCATGCACAGAGCAGGGCGATCGGGAGGTTGTGATGCCACCCTCAGTCACGCTCAGGGTAGGACCGATTGGGGGGTTGGGGCACCGTCCCCTGTCACGCTCAAGGCAGGGTCGATGGGGAGGTTGCGGCGCCACCCCGTCACTCACAGAGCAGGGCCCATCAGGGTGGTTGGGGCTCTGTACCCTGTCATGCACAGAGCAGGGCCAATCAGGGGTTTGGGGCGCTGCCCCCTGTTACGCACAGAGCAGGGCGGATCAGGGGGTTGGGGCGCCGCCCTCTATCACCCACAGAGCAGGGCCGATCAGGGGGTTGGGGCGCCGCACCCTGTCACACACAGAGCCGCAGGGCGATCAGGGGGTTGGGGAGCTCCCCCCTATCAGGCACAGAGCAGGGCTGATCAGGGGGTTGGGGCACCTTTCCCTGTCACGAAAGAGCAGGGTGGATAGGGAGGTTGTGGCCCCGCCCCCTGTCACACACAGAGCCGCAGGGCGATCAGGGGGTTTGGACGCTGCCCCTGTCATGATGATCCCGGTGCCGGGAGGCCTCGCGGCTCCGCTGATCCTGGTGCTGGGAGGCATATTACCCTTTTACTATATAGGGTAGAGGCCTGGTGCATGGGTGGGTGCCGGCTGGTTTGCCCTGAAGGGTGTCCTGGATCAGGGTGGGGGTCCCCACTGGGGTGCCTGGCCAGCCTGGGTGAGGGGATGATGGCTGTTTGCAGCTGGTCACACACCCTTCAGGGTGGGGGTCCCCACTGGGGTGCCTGGCCAGTCTGGGTGAGGGGCTGAGGGCTGTTTTCAGGCTGGGGTGACTGAAGCTCCCAACCGCTCCTTTTTTTCTTTTTTTTCTTTTTTATTCTGGGCCAGCTTTAGCTTTGA